CAGTTATGAATGAACAGGCTGTGATTTACATCACAGCCTGTTCATTCATGAATTTCTGAATGGGGAGTAGCACTCCCTATGGAGGCTTCTCCCCATTCATAAACTGCTTGATAGTAAATATTTTACTATCAGCAGTTTCTGAAATGGAATGGGAAGCCTCTGTACTGAGTGCTTCCCATTCATTGAGTGCTGAGGCTGCACAAAAAGAAATTGAGGATTTGGTGGAGTGCGTTGTTAGAACGCATCGCAGTGCATGATCTTTTTAATGTATTATTTTTCTTTTAAAAAAAACATTAAATTAACTGTGGCAGTGCATGGCAAAGCTTTGTGACTCATTGCCATGCGTTGTGATACCTTGTGTTGCAATTAAATATACACCTGTATCATTTTATCACAACACAAACACCAAAACAATTTTTTACATAAGTCGATTATTTACAGTTTTGCGTACCTTCATTTTTTTACCTTTTCGCAAAAAGGCGCAATTACAAATTTGCAAATATTTGTTATTTATTAACTCAATACAGTTTTTTATCTTTTGGATTTAATCAGAAAATATATATTTTTGTGCACGGATACTGATTTTGGTGTGTTTTAACAATTGAATTGTGTATTTTTATCTGTTTAATATTAATTTGAGAAACATTTGCGCAATTATCGCAGGGCCTACAAATTTAGTATCACCATCTTTTTATTCTACCGGGCTTGCGCTTTCAGAAAATATATGGTTTGGGGGGTCTTTTACAAACGCTAGCAACCCAGCAGTTGAAAATCAAATCAATAGGAAAAATGGCTTGGCCAGCTGATTTGAAAAATGTTCCGGAGGGCTTGGCAGCGAAAGGGTTAATAGAGGGAAAAAGCTTGCATTAGGGACATTTGTTCCTGTGACAACTGTTTGAGAAATTATCCCCACTCTTACATTCTGTTTGTCTCAAAACTAGAAGTGAAGGAAACTCTCCCTAATGTGACACAGACAATAAACTTGATCCATTTCATACTCTATCCCAGTGGTGCCCATTATGCACCTCTTTTGGCCTGCTGTGATCTCTGATCAGGAGAACTCCAAGCTGCACACTATGTCCTGCACTGCAGGGGACAGGATCTTGCTGGCTGTCAAGCTGCAATAAAGTTTTAAGGTGACGTCAGCGGTGTGCAGCGCTTTCTTCTTGGCTTGCTGTATTCATGTAGTTTGTAAATCTAGCATTTTATGTTTTTTTAGTTTTTTATTTGCTGTTCAATACCTTTTTTAAGGCATGTTTCGTGAAAGTGTACATTTTCAAATTATGTACAGTATATACCTTTTTGTATGACTTCGCTATTGCTTTTATTTATTTCACTTAAACATCAGGTTAAGAGGGAAATGCTCGTCGAAGCTCTGACCAAGAGAAAAACGGTTACTGTAAATGAGAAACTCATCCTGCCTTATAGCCTCAATGAGGTAAGTAGAAAGATTTGATTCGGCATAAGCGCTCACTTTTTACTCCATGTTTTTAAACCTTTGTAGAATTTACAGTAGCTTTTAAATTCCCCCTCCAAGTGTGTGAAAGGTTTTGCCTTCCTTTTTTACCTGATAACAGCTCCCCTAGAAGTTGGTGCTCTTTTCTTTTACACCTCCGCTCTGGCTGTGGACTCCACGGTGTCCTCACGTGCCATGCAGGGCTATAGAGCCTGTGGGGAGCAGGCGTGAGTGGGGATCAGTTAAGTAAAACTGCTTTTTCCTGTCTCCGACGCATACAAAGTAGATATCCCTTGTAGTACGAGGGTAGCCCCAACTTTTAATTTCCCTGGAGGTGGGCTTTAAAGAGTAACTAAACCTAAAAAAAAATGTATATATTGCAGCTTACAAACTCTTAAATGTAGTAGCTTTATTAGTTTTCTTTTTTTCAGGCTAAACACATTATTAGCAAATGCTAAAATTACCTGTTGATCTTTCTAGAAATGCAGCATCTTTGTCACTTCCGATGAGCTTAACAGGAATCACAAATAAATGTATCTTTTTTTGTGTAAACTACTAATGGAGATAGAAACACAGGTACAAAGTAGAGGTGCACCGAAATAGAAATTTAGAAACGGAAACCAAAGTGAAACAAAAAAATTGTCAGGCCGAAACTGAAAATGTTTTTATTTAAATTTTTTTCAAATTTCTTAAATATTTTTATTTTCTACTTTTTAGGGGCTTCAGGGAAATATTAGAGATCTAAACAGACCCCTGATATTTCCCTTTTTAAAATAGAAAAAGATTGAGAACACAAAGTCCTCTATCTCTTTTTCTGTATCCCCTGTTATCAATGAACAGGAATCCTCTGAGTTTTCCTGTTCATTGATAACTTGAGAACATAGTGTGTTTACTATAACCACAACTATGAATGAACAGGGGGTGATGTAGATCACTTCCCCTTCATTCATAATTGAGGACATAGTAACCATACCATATCCTCAATTATGTACAGACACTCAGCGATCGCTGATCACTGAGTGTTTGTTTGTACCGCTCTCCTTCCTGACTCTGACTTTATGTATTTTCTACATACACTATAATTCATACACTATATTCATACACTATTTTCTTTTATAGTATAAAGCTGTGAATTTATAAGCATGTAGAAATTTTTATAATACTATTAATATATTTCTCTTATTTAGCATTTTATTTTCCTTTGCCAAGTACAATATGACAACTGTATTGGATCTGTACTAGGCAAATACTGTTATCTTCTTTTATCTGACATAAGCTGTCCTCTTACAAATCTTTCAGGCTGTTACTGCCCGTGATTCAATGGCAAAATCTCTGTACAGTGCCTTGTTTGATTGGATAGTCCTCCGGATAAACCATGCTTTGCTCAACAAAAAAGATGTGGAGGAGTCCGTCAATGTGAGTGAGCAGCATAGAGGTCCTGCTTCTAAATCTGCAACAATGTATTCTTTCTCCACCTCTAAAGCCTAAGGGTCCATATGATGAACAAAATAATTTCTCTCTCAGACAACCCTAAGCGGGCTCTTGTACAGGTAGCGAAAGTCCACACCATAGGTCAGGTAGCCGCAATCAACATTGATTTTCGTCCTGCATCAGAAAAATAAAGTACACTTTCCCAGTTTTACATTACTTGTAGCTTGTTCTTAGCAATAAAAATAAATAGAAGTCTACCCGTTTTTAACGTGTCGTCCACCACCCCCGCCCCCCCAAGATAAAATACAAAAGTTGTCCCTGTTTGCACTGTTTGCAAAGCTGTGGCTTCTTTATGTAACCGTTTTGAGAGATTTCTCTGAAGACAACTGTCTCCTATATCGAGAAGTATAAGTGGTATAATTGCTTTTGATTACTCTAGTTTCATAGGTACTCGGTTTTCCAAGGGCTCAGGGAAATTTTTTATTTGTACAAAATATTTTTTTTACCAGGAGTTGTTGGTTAACTCTGTAAACACTGAATAAACAGACCTCCAGTCTCTGGCAGAAGGCAGCCCCTGCATAGCCCATACCCCCCCCCTCCCTGAGGAAAGTGTGACTGCTTTGATCTTCAGTGACCCTTATTTAGCAGGATGCCGTTTGCTTTTAGCAAAATTGCTTTTTTTTGTTTGTTCATTGATTTTTGTTCTTAATGTAAGATCCTTTTCTCAGAGTTCATTAAGGGACACAGGCCCTGCCCTCTTTGTTCGTTCTTTTTCTTTTGGTACCGCCTGTTGCAAAACTGAGGCATGCTGAATGTGTGACTGGTTTTTTGTTTGCAGTGTCTAAACCCTTCTGCAGGCAGCAGTATAACCTCTGAATCCTGTGCCCCTCAATAACCTGAAAGAGAAGGATTTTTGGGGAATACAACAATCCAATGTTTCTCAGAACCACAACTGTATTTCAGATATCTTCAGTTCTAATAACCATTCATGTTATAAATGAGTATTTCATTTTGCGAAGAAGAGTACTTTGCTAAATAGAAGAGTACCCAAAGCGTTTTAGAACAAAAAAGTGGGGGTGGGGGATTAGGGGGGAAATTGGGTTTACGGCTGTCCACACTGTGAATATTTTAACTTCCTGTCCCAAGTGGCACTAGTAATGAAGTGAAAGTAAACTTTTCCACAAGATTCGAACCGCACAAAAGCCTGACCAAAATTCGTATGCTATTTAAAACAACAAACAATGGGGTAGACTGAAGTTATTCATCTCGCACATTTCTGTATTAAGAGGAGGGAGCTGAAATACAAAAGCAGACCCAGAGTGAAGAATGCTCAAGTAGCCTCCATTTCCATAGTCTTACCTCCACGTTCTTTTACAGCAGTTGTGCATGGTGACTAAATATGACTGGCCAGTCCATTAGGCACCCGAAAAGACCCAGTGCTATTTCACACAGACCTGATCTCGCACATCCCCTCCTCTTCTATACAAGTTTATGTGGCTTCGTTGCAGGAAAAGAAAAGGGTATTTTAAGGCTTTTCTTAGGAATAATCGACCACAAATACAACTTGTGGGAGTAGGGAGTAGGGGACCATTGACAAATAAAAAGGTGGGTGTGAGACTTTGTCTGTGAAGGTTCTCGTTCATCAATGTCATGGTATATCTGTACAAATTAAGTCAAGGCAACTGGACTTGCTGTATTTCTCTGTATTTTGGAGCAACATTTACCATACTTGTTCCCAGATAATTTTTTGTACAAGTCATTCTGAATTGAGAAAGCTGGTTAGATGACCAGTGAAACATCTTCAAGAAAAATACAGCAAGTCCAGTTGCCTTGACTTAATTTTTACAGATGTGTGAGACTTTAGTTGGGAATTAAAATATTTTAGTTTTTTCCCTCATTATTGATACAGCTTTTTACACTTTCTGGCTCTTTTACTTATGCAAGCTACATTGTATTTAATGACATAGTGTAATTTTAACAGATATGCGTACACTTATATCTTGGTATTTACCCTTTCTTCAGTGCTTATCTATTGGAGTCCTTGATATCTTTGGGTTTGAAGACTTTGAAAACAATAGCTTTGAACAGTTCTGCATTAATTATGCCAATGAGCAGCTCCAGTATTACTTCAACCAGCACATCTTCAAGTTAGAACAGGTATGAGTCAAATTCATATTCCATATTTACAGAGAATTACATGTCTATGACTGACATAGTAAACTGATGCATGGGGGAAATTCTTGTCACTAATATTATTTTATGTGCTTATTTAAATTAAAGATTTCTGAGAGAAAGAAATACAAAAAAGCATGGTAGAAACTATTCTGGACATATTCAGGGTTAGAAAGTAAAAAGCCAATTTCTACAGATTCTCAGAATAAACGGATATTACAAAACTGTAATATCAGAATGAACATTTGCAAAAAGAGATGCTGTAATCTAGTGCCCTAAAAAGTTGTTTCACGCAAGAAGAGAACAAGGGGGACTGGGAAACTAAAAAATAGTGGAGAAGAGGAAGTTTATTTTAATTTACGTTGTTGAAATTGGCAAGTCACTAACTTAATGCAGGTTGTGTTGACTACATATTGGCTGAACATGACATCCCTTTAAGAAATTGCCTATACTGTGAAGTTGATTGGTTGTCTTCAACAAATAAGCTAAAGCTAGAGTAATTCTGACTGCATATCTTAATATCGAGCTGGGTTTAGATAGGAAATTTGGTTGGTGTTATTACAAGTAGGGATGCACTGATACTGGTACTAGACAATACCGGGTACCGGTACTTATGGTAGCATGGAGCCGGCTTCCCGGGCAATGAGGAAGCCGGAGCAGCGTGTCATTACCCACCACCCACCTTCTTGATTGCCCAGAAAGCCGTCTCCATGCTGTTTTTCCAGCTCAGTGCTGATTGGCCCAGGATGCCGGCATCCAAGCCAATCAGCATGGAACCAGGTCATTACCAGCTTTCCAGCTTCCTAATTGGCCTGGAAGCCGGTTAGATGCTGATTGGCCAGGAAGCTGTCTTCCTGGCCAATCAGCATGGAGCTGGCTTCCTGGCTAATCAGCATGGAGCTGGCTTCCTGGCTAATCAGCATGGAGCTGGCTTCCTGGCTAATCAGCATGGAGCCAGCCAAACAGCATTGAGCTTGCTTCCCAGCCAATCAGGATGCCAAGCCGTGAGTCATTACCCGCTGCCCGGATTCCTGATTGGCCGGGAAGCAGTCTCCATGTACCCTCGTGGAAGATTTCCTCTGACCGGAAGTTCCGGTATCAGAATAAGTATCTGAGCATTTGCATGAGTACGAGTACTTGCCCAAATACTCAGTGTTGGCACTGATACTAGTGTTGGTATCGCTGTATCCCTAATTACAAGCTTATCCTAGTAACAGATACTGATCAAACCCTGGTTGTTTCATAGGTGCAAAAGGATAATCCTTTTTTTTCATTGGAAATAATACAACTCTTGTCTACACTGATTTTTCTAGCATCCTGGAACAGCTCTGCAACTAATGTTACTTTTGTTCATAGTCCTCATCTCACCTTTCTTATGGCACATCACTGCACTTTCACTCTGCTTTATCTGGCTTCATCTACCTTGCTCTGTACTGTTTTCCACTAGTGTTTTGCTTCTTAAAGGAAAACTAATGAGGTGAGTGCTTTTTACTCGCCTCATAGTTCTAGGCGACCTGTGACAATGCTACAGCTCGCGGTATACTGAGCCTAGGGTGACGGGAGGACGCTAGTTTGTGTCCTCCCGTTACCCTAAGGAGAACTAAGGGGAAAAGCCCTGATCCCATAGTTCTCCTTTAATGTTCTCACGTTTTAATTTCTATGCTCTTATTTTATACATTTGTTGTACAGACCAATCTGAGTTAACTGCATCAGTGCACCATAGTGAAATATTCCCCAAGTTCCTAATTCTCCAGCATCATTGTTGATGACACATACACTGAGTGGCCATATTGTTATGACCACCCCATCAGTACTTTGTTGGGCCACCTTTTGCCTTCAATACTGCGGCGCTTCTTCTTGGGATTGACTCCACGAGATGTTGAAAGGTGATGCGAGGAAATCTGACACCATGCCTGATGAATAGCACTGCCCAGTTCTGTGAGATTTGATGGTTGTGGAACCAGCTGCCTGATGGCTCTTTCAACTTCGTCCCACAAATGCTCAATTGGATTGAGATCTGGTGATTGTGGGGGCCACGTAAGCAAGGTAAAGTCTCTCTCATGTTGTTGAAACCACTCCTGCACAATACGAGCACCTGCAAAATTATAGCCGATTTGCCTACAAACGTCAGGTGGTCGTAATAATCTGGCCACTCTGTATATAAAAGTAGAAAAGTCCAATAGTGGGCACTGCACTCATTTAAGAGTTTTGTTTATTTGTTTAAAAACCCACCCCCCCGTACCTATGTCCCGTCGTCTCCTCGTCGCCGCTGCCGGTCCGTGATCCGATGTGGCCAGTGCGGCTGGGACCGGCACGGCGACGCTCTAACAGGAGATCAAAGGGAGATCATTACTCGATTTCCCTTTTGATCTCTCTTCCTGTCCCCGAATGCAGGAAGTGATGTATATTACATCACTTACTGCATTCAGTGTCACTGTCTGGTGCAGAACACCGGAGAGAAGCTGATGAAGCAGATCTCTGCTTCATCAGCTTCTGTGGGGGTCCCTAGGTGACATCAGAGGTCTTGGAGACCCCTGATGTCTCCATAAAGAGGACCTGTTTGGTGAACTTTTAGGGCCATCAAATTTTAAAGGTTGACATATTTAGTGTCTATTTACCCAACTTGACACCGTCTTTTATATTATACCAAAAAATTGCGGTGAAAATAAATGTTTCATAACATTTTATAGGGAAAAATGTTTTTTTTACAAAATTTAGGGTACTTTTTTTGTTATATAGTAAAAAATAAAAACCCCAGCGGTGATTAAATACCACCAAAAGAAAGCTCTATCTGTCCCCAAAAAATGGTATGAAATTCGTATCAGTACAGCATTGCATGACGGAATAAACGTCAGTCAAAGTACCGCAGCGCTGAACACTGAAAAATGGCCTGGCCAGGAAGGGGGTGAAACACCTGGTCTTCAAGTGGTTAAAGGAGAATTATGGGGTCAATGCTTTTCCCCATAGTTCTCCTTTGGGTAACGGGAGGACACAAACTAGCGTCCTCCCGTTACACTAAGCTCAGTATACCGCGAGCTACAGCTGAGATACTGAGGCGCCGGAGCGGATCCCGACATCGATGTCGAGATCCGCCCAGCTGCGTGAGTGACAGCTGGCTCTGCCTATCTAGAGGCAGAGCCAGCTGTACCCTCCCCCGTATGATCCACCAGTCAGCGCTGGCGGAGCGGGGAGGGGGGAATCCAGCCCCTCCCGTCACGGCAGAGAGCCGTGACAGGATAGAGAGGTGAGCGAACGCCGGTATGTGTTCTCTCACCTCCCGATCCTCTGAGCCGACCTGTGACAGTCTCATTGTCACAGGTCGGCTAGAACTATGAGGTGAGTGAAAAGCACTCGCCTCATAGTTCTCCTTTAAGTCGAGAAATACTGTTCTGCATTGCCCAGTTAACATTAGGAAGGGATTCAAGCAGAACTGGTGTGCCTGATTCATGAGTGCAACCAATAGGTCTGTACAAGTTAAAGTGCATGAAAACCCGACCAGTAAAATTATCTTATTTGCACCCTCTTGGTCTGTTAAGTATACCACTAAAAGAGTTGTGTGATATCAGTTTGATAAATGCAAAAAGTACCTTTTGAATCTGCCAAAAATACTTCCTGTGCCAGGGCAGAGTTATGAAGATGAGAAGTGGAAGGGGAATGAGGAGACTGCTGCGTCCTTTGTAATCCACAAGAAATAAAGTAGGCAGGGCTGACATCATGTGTTTAGGATTTCAGAGCTCAAAAGACACTGAGGCTGATTACTAAGATTCCTCACATAATAAATTACACAGTCACATGTTCAGTAAATGTGATAAGCATATTCCTGTTTACTTCTTTAATCTGCATATGATGTGATTGTTTAAACAATTTATTGGGTGAAGATTCCCAACTGCTTTACTAAATCAGCCTTATTGTGTTGTCAGCTCAAGCAGGAATATTTCTGCCACATCAACAGTTTTTTCTCTACTTGTAGCTCATTTAGATGGATAACAACATAGGAAAATGTGCATGAATTCCAGATATGTACTAAATTATTTTAGTTTTTGTTTTTTTTAAACTTTTTTTCTTTTTTAGTCTTTATAAATACATGCAAATCTTTACTGCTGTATTACATTAAAAGAAGGTAAAGGGATACAACACTTCAACGTTGTTTTTTTTCTGGAGCAAATTATAAAACTGAAGCAAACATTTGGTTGCTATGAGCAATACTAATCTTAACTCCTACTGTCCTAGATTACGTTTAACTTCTTTTTTTTTTCTTTATACTTGATTACTTTTACTACTGCTACTAATAGAAACCTGTTTTTGATAAAGTTAGTATTGTGATGTTTCATTCATAGGAGGAATACCAATGTGAAGGAATTAGCTGGCACAATATTGATTATACAGATAATGTTGGCTGCATACAGTTGATCAGCAAGAAACCAACAGGTCTCTTCTACCTGCTGGATGAAGAAAGCAAGTATGTAGTTCAAAAAGCTAGAGATGTCTGTGTTTTTGTTATGATTTAGTGTTAATCATTTATGTTTTTGGTTTATTTAACGTTTTTGAATTATTTCCCCTCTTAAAGGCAGAGCTACTCTAAAAATATGTTTCATTTAGGTGATCTACTACATTGTTTTGGTCCTTTTTCATGTGCGTTTTGGAAGTTTGTTTTGGCAAAATATAATAAAGTACATTCTATCATTAAAACTTAGTAATTCAAGAACCAGCAAAGCACTATGTGCATCTTTGGCCACATAGCATAACCCTTTTGTAATTTACTCCATCCCTTTTCTGTTATAAAGAGAAATTAAGTTTTTATGCCCGTTGCATGTCGCAAATGATCATATCTTGGGAAAGAAAGCTTGTCTTTAATGATGCAATCTTTTCCTATTCTCTGGGTAAACTGAGGTGTATTAGGAGTGTTCAGAGATACAGGATGTAAAACACTGTGGCACAGATTAACTGCTCTCCAAGTATAAGGGAAGAAAGTAAAATTGTGTTTTATTTTATTAGCTCCTAATTTCAAAATAAAATATTTTTTCTGTTAGACCATCATTCTTTCTTTTTTTTAATTGGCTTGCCAAAAAACATTTTTTTAATGTATTTTCTGATATTTTTCCCAAGATATTTGAATTCATTTTGATTCTTCTCACTTACACTGTGATTATGGTTATAAATGATTAACCTGATCAAAAAAAGTAGTTCCAGTGGGAACTACCAAGTCTTGTAACTTTTTCTTTCTCTAAACATGCCAAATTGAAATATTTTGGCAATAATGTGTACATTGCCAGATGCCTCCACAATGCTAGACTGCTGAACCAACAAGGTGCAAGGAAAAAGCAACAAAAATATAAGAACCATGGTATACTTTTCCTCTAACCGCATCTCCAGATTGCTAAATGCAAGTTTGCCTTATGAATAACTCTCCTTGCTGCCTTCTAATTAATCTAAATTCTAAACTCATTTGTTTTCGTTTTGAAAAAAGGAGTTTGATGCAACATTATTTGAGTTTTTGGGGGGTTTTTTTTGCGGTCGGTGTCACCCTCTCTGTTTGTTCTGGTGACCAACTGGCACAGCAACAGAAAGTGCTGAAAAGTCCAATAGCCATGTTTTATCTGAACATCTGTTTTATCTGTTGTTTCTGGGACCCAGACAAAGGAAAACCTGAAAGGACAGGCGTAATTTCTTACTGTATTCAATACTAAAAGAAAAGGATTCGCTCTAGATTTGGGCTGGGGCTGGTTGATTTCCTTTGATGTACAGTATATCTAATCAGTACTTTGTGTTTTAGAATGTCTTTTTATAATCTTTGTAAAATATAAATCGCATTCATATACAGAGGGTTTTTTTTTCTTACTATTTTTAAATTGCTGTCAGTTTGTTTTTTCATACCAAAACAGTGCTTTTAATATTGCATAGTTGCTGGTCTTTACATTCTGTCATTACAATGTATTGGAATATTGTAATAAATGCTTAATGCTATTATGTTATCTGTACCTGCTGTAATACCACTGTAACACTTTAAATATATTGTATAGAATGCAACTTGTATATCTCTGTAATAAGGCTAGTTTAATTGGCAAAAAATCGACAAGCTGTTGAAATGACTAAATAACCATATAACCTGAACTCCAGCCACAGTAAAGACGCCAGTCTGTATCTCCATCCTCCGCTCAGGTCATGGGTATGAGTAATATGCTCTTATTCAATCACCTCATTGCACTTATTTTTATTGTGATTAACCTTGCAATTTTTGCTCACCAACTGATTATTTACCCATGTCTTCAGTCAATCGGCAGACTAGTCAATGATCACCCCCCTTGTAAGCCAATACAACCATACCAACGCTGCTTTTTATAAACACCTTTTGCAATGCAAACAAAGATTCTATTTTTATACCTTGTGGCTGTGTCACTGATTTTGTTTCCCACAATGGGGCTACATGGGTTTTTTTGACGTAGTATTACCACTAGGGATGTACCGATACTAGTATCCGTGCTGATACAGAGTATTTGGGCGAGTACTCGTATTCGCCCAAATGCTTCAATACTTGCCTCTGATAACGGAATTTCCCATCAGAGGGAGCATGGAGCCGTCTTTCTTTCAACATCATGACCCGCGTCCCGATTGGTCAGGAAGCCAGACTGCCTAGCAACAAGTGAAGCTGGCTTCCTAACTATTCAGAAGGCTGGGTGGCAGGTCATGATGTGCTACCTGGCTTCCGGTTTTGCTAGGAAGCCAGCTTCACTTGTTGGTCAGGAAGCCAGGCTGCCTAGCAATCAGGAAGTCGGGCGACACCTCATGACCCACCGCTCGGCAGCCTCAAAAGAACACCAGCTTCCCAGACAATCAGGAAGGACCATGACCCGCCGCCCAGCTTCCTGATTCAGTGCCCTGGTATCCGCGTGTACTGGAACATATTGGTACTTGTACTCTATACAGAAAAAATGGTATTGGTACATCCCTAATTACCATTATTACTCGTGCATGCCTTTTTATTGTCTGATTTGGGGGACATGAAGGCCATGCATTTTTTTTTCTTATTTTCTGTGTAATTCTTTTTATAAGTATGTTTTCTGTTACCACAGTTTCCCTCACGCCACATACCGTACACTGCTTGCCAAGTTCAAGCAGCAACATGAGGATAATAAGTATTTTGTGGCAACACCTGTCATGGAGCCAGCGTTCATCATTCGTCATTTTGCAGGCAAAGTCAAGTACCAGATCAAGGTAAGCTCCTAAGTTGTATTTTTGGGGGGTTAACTGTGGGGATTCATAAAAAAAAAAAAACATTTTAATTTTATGTCCATAAAATTACCTTTCATCCCCCAATTGACCTACTGTAATGGGTCAGCATAGTAGTTGTAACCATGTTTGGGCTATTTAAAGTGACACTAAACTGAGGAGTTAAACCTTAAAAAATGCATTTATGTACCTGAACTGTTAACAGTACTGTACCTTATTTGTGCACCATTTAGCTGTAGATCCTTCAAATTATCGCTGCATTCCTGCTTACATTGTTTTTCCTTCTGGAGGGTGGCTACTTTAGTTCCCCATGGTCCCTGTGTGTGTTGTAAAGTAGCCATCACTCCAAGCTTGCTCCGTTGATGATCTACAATCTCAATACAAATTAGGTAACTAAACGTGAGATTGTGGTCCATCACATGGGGGGGGGGTTGTTTTCTTTTTACCTTAATGCAGAGAACACCGAGCCTTTAGGTCGCCAAACACCAGAGTCCCACCGCTCCAATTCTATCTTCGGTAATACACCAACCACCCACATCAGATGCAGACCAAAGGTGCACTTGCCGGTGTATGTAAAAAAATTAAGTTTTACTGCAGTTAATCCAACATGAGTCCATAAGTATACACCTCCAAACTCTCCCCCATACCTTCTCCCAAAATGCGTTTCACCACATGAGTTTAATCAGAGACCTCTGATTAAGCCCATGTGGTGAAACGTGTTAAAGGATAAGGCATGAGGGATGGTTAGGAGGTGTTTACTCATGGACTCATGTTGATTAAGTGCAATAAACCTTGATTTGTTACTGTCTCAACGGGCTGAGCGAAATCTGACACAGAATAGGCCACTCCCTGGAAGGGTTATACCGCTTTCTGTGCAGACAGGTTAAGTGCAGCTGATATTTGAGGACCAAGCCTTTAGGTACTTGAATGCATATTGAGGATTAAACTCCTGAGTTTAGTGTTGCTTTAACTGCTGGATTCCTAACCTAAAGGACTTAAGACAACTTTTATGTAGATGAGCTTAGAATTAGCCTAACAAACTAAGATGGTTCAGGTTTTCTTCTCAGGGGCTTCATTGTCCAGCTATGTGGAATTACAGCTATAAGCAGTCAGGAATAATCCAGGTGGGAAACGTTGCTTGGTTTATGGGAAGTAGATTTACATTAAGTTTCTTTTTTAAATCAAATGTAAATACCCTTTCTTTCCTCCATTAAGGGACACAAAAATTCAGATACTGTTGGGTTATACTGCTACCTACCCCAGGATTGGACACTGGCAAAAAGAAAAATTGTGGGCCAGCTCAGGATAATCCCTCCCCTACCCAGCATGGCTCAGTTTTCTGCTAGTGTCCTAGGAGAATGGATGTATTTTCTTCAGCACTTCTGAGAGAAGTCAATTAATTTTTCTCGTCTTTTGATATTTATTTGGTTCTTATGCCTCTGACTTCAGTTAAGATTTCTCCCTACATCGCTACTTGAGCTGGTCTCTACGTAAATTTGTCTGGATTGGCATTTCCTCAGCTTGACTTGCTGTACCCAGAGCCCACTGGACTAGACATTGCGGTTGTAGCTTGGAATGTCATCTTTTAGGTAGGGATGCACCAATACCAAGTACCGTACTTGGTACAGGTACAGATACTTTTCGAGCTCCAAGACTAGACTAGAGAGAAATTCAAAAGTTAGGAGACAGCTGTCATTTGTAAGGAGCACACGGAGCTCCTGGGATTTGCACATCTCTGTTTTAATGTATGATTTTATTTTTATAAATATAAATAAAGTGTATACGATTTTTGCAAGTAAGAGTACTGATACTTGCCCAAGTACTTACAAGTACTGATACATTTTTGTTTATTGCCATGTGACAGTTTTTCTAAAACAATATCGACTAATTTCAGGACAGTGGTGGAGCACCAGGGCCAGGTCCCAGCTGCAACCCTGGTAGTACTGGTGAAAAAGCCAAGTATCGGCACTGGTACTCAAAGTATCGGTGCATCCCTACTTTTGGGTACTGGTTCCCGCTTATGACAGGCATTGTGTACTGGTAAAAGTTAGCTGTGGAGCAGTTTCCAGGTCCGGAGCCAAGGCATTGCCTCAGCGCTTGCCCTGTCTCAAACTACTCACTCTGTTAAGTAGGCTGTTCAGCATCGGACGCTGATGCCATATCCAAAGAGCAGCTTGGCCTTTGAAGGATGTCGCCTCTTTGGTCCTACACTTGATACCATCAAGGATTCTACAGGAGGCCATAGAGCAATTCTGCCTTGAAGCAGCAGATGTAGGGAGTGGTCTTTCTCCATCTACCTCTGCAGTCGGTGCCCCCAGGCCCTCAAAGCCTGACTCTCACACAGCCCATAAGCCTTGAAGTCAGAAGCCTTCTGCATGAAGTTGTGTTCCTACTTCAACAAGTGGGGGTGATTTTAAATCCTGGAAGGTCCTTGGGTAGTTTGCCTCTCAGCCATTCTGGTGCAGAGTGTGCCCCTTTAAGGCTCACAGGCTAATTGTTTGCACTTGCAATTGGGGCCATCTCTCCTTCCTTCTGTAAACTGGTCTGTAAGACCCTTAATAGTACATGGCAACCCTACGAGGTCAACTGCAACAAGCTTTTTCCTGCTATCCTCATTGTAGGACTCTCAGACAACCTCACTATAGAGGGTCAGCATCATGGATCCCTGTAGGCAGCATCTTCTTGAAGGGCCTAATACCTGCAAAATCTGATTTGTGTCTGGCTTTGTCAGGTTTCATTGTTGAAAAATGTGGGTGAGGTTAACCAGCCTAGAGCTAGTCTGGTTCCTGCACTGGAAGATACCGTGAGTCTTCGAATGCCTTCACTTGCTCTGCCATTAATCAGGCAAATTCTCTTAGCGTTACTGCTAAGATTCCTGTCCTTGGCTCCATGGCTGTTGACGTTGTGCTAGATCTAGGGTATCAAGCGCTTTCTTAGACCTAAAGCTTGAGGTTAGGGATAGGAAGGGCAGTTCTTCTGTAGTGCCCCAGTGGCACCTCTTATGTACCAGTTAGGATGTCTTGGTTTTATCTAGTTCCTATCTTATAGTCTGGGTTAAGGAATGTAAATACTTGGGTGTTTCCAATGTAGACCAACTTCTCTTTTCTTCTCTTTTCTTTTCTTTTTTTTCTTACCTGGACCTGCTTTATCCTAAATTCTGTCTTGGGGCCTGTTTCTTTTAGGTGCTGTTGCCCAAAAAAGGGCTCTTCCCTTCACTGGAATTTTCTATGTTTTTTTTTTTTGGCTGATCACCCTCTTATTGGTTCAGGTTTGGTGTTCCTTTCCATGTGGCATAATTTCACTCTGTTCTTTTTCTCTAAGTCTTAAACATCATTGCCCTCCCTTTGGTCCTCGGTAGGTTCCCCTATTTTGTAGGTGGCTTGGCCTCATCTAGTTTTAGAAGTGGGCTTGTGTCCTTCATGGAACTCCTTAACTGTGTTGCTGTTCATGCGCCTGGTACTGTTTTGCTAGAAATCTGAGGCATGCTGCATAGGGGAGCTATTAGCTTTTTTAGGCCTGAAAATTACTTAAATCCCCCAAACATTATATATTTTCTGAATGCCAAGACCCTATAGAATAAAATGGTGGTAGTTGCAAATTTTTATGTAGCGCAATATTAGCGCAAGTCCTTTATTAAACCACAAAATTTAGTGACAAATTTAATTAAATGCCCCAGAACACAATAAAATACCAATTTTTTTAATGAATGTAAAAGATGAGGTTACAACGAGTAAAACGATACCCAACATGCCCAGTTTACAAATTGCGTGCGTCCGTGAAACGGCGAATAACTGCAGTACCCCAAAAAGTCCATAGAAGACGCTTTAAAAGCCCCCACAGGTCATCAATTTAGAGATACCCCAAAATACTGGCCCTAGAATTATTGCTCTCACTCCGGCGTGCGCGGCGATACCCAACATGTGTAGCGTGTTCGTCGTTTTCATACGTAGGCGCACCCGACGCGTGTTTACGTGGCGACGCGCGGGCTCGCGGGGGCGGGGGACTTTAAAAAATTTTTTTATTATTATTAGATTTATTTTATTTCATTTTAATTTTAAAAACTGTTTTTTTTTTTTTTTTTACTTTACTTTGACTGCTATCACATGGGGGGGCTTGCAAGCCCCCCCATGTAATAGCAGATGGTGGTGACAGGTCCTCTTTAAGGTGATGCTGGGGGTCCAAAAGACCCTCAGTGTCACCTTTACACTAGAAATGAGCTATTGAAGTGCAGATCGCACTTCAATAGCTTATAGCTGGGCTGCAGGAGCCCAGAACTGACAGCCCAGGGACCGGAAGTGATGCAATCTGCATCGCTCCCGGTCCCATAGAACGGGGAGGGGATCGATGAACGGAAGTTCGTCGACCTCCTCCCCAGCTCCCCGCGGACACAAAGATCGCCGGTCCCGGGCCCGTAGGAGGGGCAACGGAGCCCGGGAAGCACGGCGGGGGTGTCCGGCGGGGGGGGGGCCCCTTCTTCGGGACGCAGAAGCGATCTGGCGACAGGTAAGTCGCCAGAATCGCTTCTGTTGTAAAGCCGACAGTCGGCTTTACAAGTTTAAACAGAGTCCGGGTGGTAATAGCCGCCGGGAGTCTGTTTAAACAGCATCGGGGTACAGTGTACGTCGTCAGTCACGAAGGGGTTAAAGTTTTTTGCCAGTGTCCAATCTTCCTGTAGGCTGCAATATAATCACAGTATCTAAATTCCAAGAAAAGGAATTTATGGTGAATACAATCAACCTTTTTTTTTTTTTTGTAACAGTGACTTGTTAGATTTGAAAAATGTTAAGTTAACTCTCCTGGTATAATGTACTTTTCAAAAAATTATTAGACTTCAACATATAACCTTTAGATTTTCAAGCTTGTTAAGAACAGTACAAATGAATGTCTTGTTTTCCTTCTTATAGGACTTCCGTGAGAAAAATACAGATTACATGAGGCCCGACATTGTTGCTCTTCTCCGTAGCAGTGACAGTGCTTACATCCGTGAACTAATTGGAATGGACCCAGTGTCTGTCTTCCGGTGGGCTGTATTACGAGCTGCAATTAGATCAATGGCTGTGCTCAATGAGGCAGGCAGGCAGCATGCAGAAAAGACAGCAGGTACATAACACATTGATTTATCTTCTAGGCATCTTCCCTACTTTTTACTACATTACCACATCAAATTGAATTTGCTTTTTGTGTTGACCTGAAACCACATATATCAAATTTCTGAACTTCACTATATGTACTTATTTCTACTACATTGTTGTCTTGAACAAAGTATTTTAAATACAAGTTACTCTTGGTTAACTCTTCTTCTTCACATGGCTTTGCTTTGATTAAAAAAAAAAACAAGGTGGATTATATGTTTCATAGAATGTACACAAAAAAAGGTTCTACCTATACCAGGAAGCAGAGAGTAGAACATGGCTTTTAAAAATGTCTGATTTATTCTTTAGTTTCCTCTTTCAATTTAGGTGTGATACGAAAAGGACCTAGGACTCCTTTAGGAGAGTTGCAGAAGTCAAATGCTGCTGTGGACAAACTATATCGGTGAGTAGTTGAATATTTTTAACATTTCTAATGTTGGTTAAGTTCTGCCCATATTGAAGTCGATTAATATGAAGATATATTTCCTTCTTGCCATCATTGAGTTGCTGCGTACAAAGTCCCAGACTGAAGATTAGCAGCCCAGCAGTGTGTGCGCCAAGAGATTTCCAAAATGGTATCATATTCCGATAGTGCACATAGGCTGTTTTCTGCAGAGACAAATACTAGCCCTGGTTTTTAAAAATTAAAAAAGGCTTACCTAGTTTTAAAGAGGCATAGTTGCGTCTGTGGGTCTTCTAAACTTTGTGCACAAAATATATAATTCAAATCTACAGTTAGTAAACCAGAATGTTATTCAGAGCTAGTGATACTTCAGTTGCATATATGTGTAAGTTCACAACACTGTAAGTGGCCTAATTCATACCTGTACTCCACCTTTAGCCACTCTCTCCTCGATTTCTCCTATGATTGCGCCGAGGATTATGATATAGATGTGTTTGAAGACATCATAAGTATATATGAAAGCAAAAAGTAAGTGCTGTGGTTGACGCACTATATTTTTGTCCCAAAGTCATGCAGCTTACTGTGCTCCAAAAAAGTGTCTTAAATGAATCGCTCAAAAATCGGATCCAATTTGAACGTTATTTATATTTTCTTCCTACATGTGAGATTCTTTTTCCATTGCTTTTTAAGACTATGTAAAAACTATGTCAATATTGAGATGCAAAAAAGTATATGCAATTTTTTTTGTCCACACTTATTTGGGGCACTTAAGTTGCATGCAGGGAATAGGGCTTTAACACCGCGTCACATTGCATGGATTTATGTCCCCACCACTAATGAACTGTCAAATTATTGACTCTGGTCTTCTTTGCATTCTATGGGGTTTGAGGTGTTCTCTGAAGCACTGGGTTGTGTTGTCTTCTGTTCATGAAGTTTTATGTCTTGTCTTGGCTTAGCCACATTATCTGTTCCAGTGTAATTCACAAATGTAATTTTTGGTCACTATGATATATTTTCATCATTTTGTTTTTGGGTGGTGATTATTACATGACATGTAATTGCCCCAAAACCTACATTCTTACAAAAAAATCAAGACTAGTTTCATAAATATTTAGGTGTGTGCCTATATCATATACTTGTGTTTTAGTAATTTGGTGATTGGCTGCCTGTATGTAAGAAGTAGTAATCTTTTCAGACTATAGAAGTTAGAGCTGGGCTTTCTGTAATCTCTAATCTGTCTCTCATCCTGGCACTGGCAGAGAGCGACATTCTCAGCTGATGAACAGCATAAAGGGACTCTCCTGGCAGGGGGATGACCCAGCCAATGTACTGCGCACCCTTTCCCTACGCAGGCACTCCCGGCTCCACTTACAGTGAGTGTGCAAGGGCTTCATGACCATCAAGCAACCAAGGTCACTTCGCTGTTAGGGAGCGCTGGCATTGTGTCTTGCAATGTGTATTGTGTTTGCTAATAAAGACTGCTCTGTGGCAAATAATTGCTGTGCGTTAGTGCAAATTGTCAAAAATAGGCGCAAATGATATAACCGTATTCTCTCTGATTGTATGTGTGTGGTTTTGTAATGTGTGTTGTTGATGTTTAGATATGTATTTACACTTTGTTTGCCAATGGGTGCCCATATAGTTCATCTGGCCTTTTAACACTGACCATTAACACGTTCTCGCTAATCTGGTGGTGCATTAAAAATATATTCCGCATTTTTTTCACACTAAAAACATATTTCTAACTTGTTATGCTGACTAACTGCAACTGGCTTGCTAATGAAAACACATATCCTAGGAGTTAAGGGAAAGAACAGGTTTTGTTTTTTTGTTGTTTTTTTAACCTTGACATCTATTATTTCCATAGGAAATCTAAAAGTGGCCGCCAAAAGCAGCTGATTCCAAAGGTAATGAGAACATGTGTTTTGCCCATATGGTAATAAATTTTTTTTCATTTACCATTAGTAAGAAGTGGTAAGCTTCAATTAGTACACGCTGTACAAAATTCTGGAAACGGCAATGAGAAAATCATCTGAGCATAGGCAGTTAGAGCTTTTAGAGAATCCCAGTTGCAAGGAAGTTACGTTTTTTTTTTTTTTTTTTTCTAGAGTGGAAAAGTTATTT